GCCTTTATTGATTTTAAGTCTGCCTTTGATTTTATCCCAAGAAATAAACTTTGGGCCCAATTTGAATCTACGAACATAGACAAACAACTGCTTCTGCTAATGAGACAACTTTATGAAATTACCCACCTGAGAGCCCTCTGTAATTCAGCTGGAGTTCTATCCAATCCAATCCCAGTTTTCAATGGGGTCAAACATGGTTGTATACTGGCTCCCATCTTGTTTAACTTCTATATTCATAACATAGTTGAAGATTAACCTAAGCCTGAATTTCATCCCCCCCAAACTGCACTTCCATATATCAATGCTGCTGTATGCAGATGATGCGGTTCTACTCTCATTAACATGTGTGGGACTGAGAAAACTCTTGAGGGGGCTTCCTTCCTACTGTAATTGAGAGCAGTTCGTAATTAATTACCAGAAGACCAAAGTTCTCATGATCCGTAGAAGAAGAGTGAAGCCCAACTGGGCTATCCATGGTCATCCCACAGAGCAGGTTTCCAGCTACAAACTAGCAAGTACTGCCAGTAACTCTCCCCATTGTGTTCAGTGGGACATCATCTTCTTCTTTTTCAAAGTTCTGGCAGGCTAAAAGGCCTAGCCATACTGTGGCCAGTATAAGCCAGAAGAACACGGACAGCCAAAGCAGATCCATGGCTTCAGTCCTCCCCCATCCTAATTCTACGTTGGATCCCTCAGTTGCACAATTACACATTGAATCCAGGAACGCAACCAGCACCTCGCTAATTGGTAGCAATTTGCTGCCAAGACTCATAAAATTTCCCTTTTGCCGCTGTAAGGCAGCAAAAGGATTTTAGCTTCGATTTACGCTCAAATACTTTAAAAAAACTGCAGATGGAAAGTTCCACCTTAGAAGAGGGCTGTTTTCCTCACACACACAAAAATGCCTCTTCTCAGATGATATGGTGTTAAATCATCTCAAAATTGTCTCAAAATTAAGAGATTCACAAAGAAATCAGTATTTGTGAATTCCACTACAAACTGGCCTGATCTGAAACCCATGGATTAGTGCAGAGAGTGGGCCACAAATCTCGTGTGTGTTTTTTTATAAATGTCACGATGCAGTTCTTGCTAGTTTAAACATGTCAGGTAAAGGTTCCCTTTGACATATAGTCCAGTTGTGTCTGACTCTAGGGCGTGGTGCTCATCACTCTTTCCAAGCCGTAAAGCCAGTGTTTTTTCCGAAAACAGTTTCCGTGGTCATGTGGCCAGTGCAACTAGACACGGAACGCCATTTCCTTCCCACCGAGGTGGTACCTATTTATCGACTCACATATTTACATGCTTTCAAACTGCTAGGTTGGCGGGAGCTGGGACAAGCGACGGGAGCTTACTCTGTCGCATGGATTCGATCTTATGACTGCAGGTCTTCTGACCTTGCAGCACAGAGGCTTCTGTGGTTTAACCCACAGCGCCACCACGTCCCATTTTTAAACATGTCAAGATACCTTTAAATGTGCACATTTTAAGAGAAAATGAGGATGTGATCACACGGGCATATTGTTTGCATTTTGAACCACTTGTGGCACAGTCCAGTCTGATGTAAGCTATTTCCCAGCAATCACATGATGTAGAGGCAACAGCACTTCGGCCCGACCTCCCGAAGCTGGATCTTTTGGGTTCAGCTGTAGAACTCTTACTTTTGGGCAATGGGCTGGAGCCATTCCTTGATGGACAGAAGGGTGACTTTAAGGGAGATTGCGCCTGGCAAAGCAATTTTCCAGCGTGATCACACACACAGCTTTCTCACCCTCTGATCACACCCTATGATTTGCCCACCCATTAAAATATAGTATTAGATGCAGTACAATTTACTTTTGAGTAAGCCTACACAGAAAGCTGCACAGCTGCGTGTCCATGAAAGTTTTCTCAGGTCACTGGCATAAAAAGAACTCAGATATACCGTGTCTCAAATGATGTCTCAGATGCAAATAAGTTCTACTGTCATCCATGTGCGTTATTTCTCAGTATATATGCATAGGACTCGGCTACAAGGATATTTACAAGCCTCTATCGTACTATACATATACATTTGTGAATATTACAAAAGTCCTGTAAATTAATGTAAGTTTTAGCCAACACTTACGAAAAGAAGTGGATAGAAAGGCTTACAATGGCAAACTTAGACAAAATTGCAACACAAATGCTATTGGTATTAAATGTATTTGAGAAAATAATCAGCATAATCACAAAATTATTGAGATCACAAATAACTTTTGTCCATTATGTAATTTCATTGTTTAAGATTTCTCTGAAGCATGATTTATTGGTTAAAATTACATAGGAAACTTCACTTGAATTTACTTTATAGGTACAGAAAAATTAGAAAAAAGGCTATGTGCCCCCCCCCCCCGAAAACAAAAGCAAGAACAGGTGATAACACCAAGCAAACAGCAGACAAGTGTTGTCAATGATCCACAGTATCTTGGTGCACAACCTGAGGAAAGTGAATTATAAAAATTGAGCTGTCTGCTGTTTACTTGATTTTTTTTTTTTGGGTGATCTAATAAAGGTGTCACCTGCTTTTGCATTTACATGTACAGCAACCTTGTGAGTATGACATGGCTAGAATCGGTTACTAGTTTGTGGCACTTCCTTGTTTTTTTTTTCTAGGATGATTGTATCATATCTTACCCAACATGCTGAGCGAAACAACCTGTGGGGAAAATATCCTTAAGGTCTCAATCCTAAGTACACTTACTAACAACTATGGACCACTGAACATGGTGACACTTATTTTCAAAGTGGCCAGAACTGTGTTTTACCAAACTATGAGCTTTGATGAATATAATACTCCACTGAATGGTGGTGGGAGGGTTGGACCTCTCACTGCCCATCATTATTTGGGAAGAAAGCAGTCAGGAGAAATTGCTGCTTTGTTTTTAATTTTGGGGGACTTTCCAATTACATGGCTTCTGACTCTTATTGGTTTAAAGACTCTATGCAGCTATTCCATCCTTTTATCATGATCAGATTTTCTGGTTTCTTTCAGATGTAAAGTTAATCTAAAACTGCCACTCTTCGTTTATTCCCTTAAAATGGTGAGAGGATGACAGAAGTAGCAGAAAGATTCAGAGGGGTGACTAATCAGAATCTGGATGCTTTCAAACATCCCAAGCATGAGGCAGAATGCTCGCTCATCTTGAAGAGTCTTGGAGTGGGTCACAGAAGTTTTACTCTACTTTACTTCTAATGCCAGTTTACAGATTACATCCTAAACTAAAGTACCGATCCTAACGTACATGTTGAATACACACAACTGTGTGCAGCTGTAGAATGCAAATTATTTGTGCTAGTGTATTCTCAAAGACTTTCATGGGTGGGATCTGATGGATGTAAGTTTTTCGGGCTTTTTTGGTCGTGTTCTGGAGGTTTCTCTTCCTAAGGTTTCACCTGTCTCTGTGGCGAGCATCTACAGAGGAGAGGAGTTAGAACTCTGTCTGTGTTCTGGTGTC